TCACGGTTTTGGAGGCTGAGCGTCTGAGGTCAATGTGTCAGCGGGCTTGGTCTCTCCTGCGGCCTCGCTCCTTGGCTCTCCGGAGGCCGTCTTCTCGCTGTGCCTCCACATGGCCTTCCTTTCCCAAGTGTCTGTGTCCTAATCTCCTTTTCTCAAAGGATATCACATTGGATTAGGGGTCTCATTTTTACTCAGTTACCTCTGTGAAGAAGTTATTTCCAAATGCAGTGATATTCTGAGGTACTGGGGATTAGGACTTCAATGTATGCATTCAAAAATTCAGCCCATAATACCCCTATTCTATTCTATTGCTCTTTGGCAGCGGGATGGGTGGGCTTTTAAGTCCCAAGGACTTCTCTGTAGCAATAAGAGCCTTCACAAACGAGAAGACCTGGGTCCAGCTCTCCATGAGGATCTGACTGCCACCTGACCATTGCTTTTCTTCACCCTGTGACGGCTGTTTCATAAATGGGAGCTATTGTTTTACAATTCAAGTCTGTGTCCTCAATATGATAGATTTCAAAACTATTTTTAAAAATATGAACTTCCTCTTGATTCAGTGACTGTTACAGATTTATACATCAAGGAAAAAATAGATGCATTCCTTCCCTTATGAATCTTCTACTTGAACAGGAATGACAGATACTAAGGAAGTAAGACATAAGTGAATATTTAATTACAAACTGTGATAAATACCACCTAGGAAAATAGCAGCCTTGCCATAGCTTTTCTTCTCACTCTGCTAGGCATATTACGAGAGAGAATAACAGGATGGGGAACTGACTTTACCTAGGTCAGGAAAGGCCATCAAGATCTGAAGGCTCCATAGGAAGTAGCAAAGTGATGAGTGGAAGGGAGAACATTCCAGACTAAGAGACAGCATAGAGAAAATCACCGAACTCGGGAAGAGGAACAGACATGTGGTGCCCTGTGGCAGAAATGCAGTGAACAAGGGGACAAGGACCCTCGAGCAGGCTGGGGCTGCAGCCCGAGGGAAGGGGTGGACCTCTAATGCAAATGCCTTGGGATGTCTAAGCATGGGCTGACCTGGCCCGCCTTGATGTTTTAAGAAGATCATTCTAGCTACCATGTAGAAAATTGATTAGAGGGCACAAATGTGAAAGTCTAGACAGCAGTTAAAAAGCTTTGGAGAGGACATAAGCAAGAGAAGATGATGACTCACACAGACAGTAAGAAGGGAAGTAGATGGATTTGGGACACCACTTGGAGGTAGAAAGAATAGGGATGCGTGACTTTTGAGTAAACGTGAATGTGTAAGATCGGGATGCTGATGGAGAGGAGGTCAAGAATGACACCTGGTATGAGCAACTCAGGGGAGAAGGGGTACCCCAGGCTGTACAGGAGAAGACAACCCAAGACACCAGTGGGTTCCAGAAGTGGAATTCTGACAATACAGACACAAATGGTCCTGTCAGAGGAAAGATATTTTGGAAGCCAACACAAAGAAGTCTATGTTAGCTTCAGATTTCAAAGAAAAATATAAAAAAAGATAAAAAAGAAATATTTTATGTCTTGAACATTATATAAACCTTATCATACACTGACAATATATAAACACTGTCAATATTGAATACAAATTCCCAGTTTCGCTCTTCAGTTTCCAAGTGCCTTTGCTTCTACCAGCTGCTACCTGCAACGATCTTCAGAAGATTGCCCTTGAACCATTGTATGCGCGTGCGCACGCGTGTGCACACACACACACACACACACACACACACTCCCATGCAGAGAGCCAGAGGGGCCCACCCTCTCCTCCTACCCCTCCCCCTGCCCTGGAGCCCCCAGCCACTGGCTGACTGTTACAGGATTATGAAAACCCAGTTCCCATGCTTTAGATGGAGACAGACATGGGGACAAAAGCTGGCGATTCTCAGCAGGATCAGGCTGAAGCTGGGCCTTTTCTTGAATTGCCTTCTTACTTGGTTTCATTCCGTTTGCTTCCTCCCCTCCCTCACTGGATTTTCCTGGGTTCACCTAATTAATAAGTCCTTTGCATACATATCTTTGTCTCAGGGTCTGATTCTCCCCAATGACATAGATATATATGTATGTCATCTGTGTTTTTTTCTTGAATACATCTCAATTTTAAATACAATTCAAGAACGTAAAATGCACGCTATAAAGGAAAGGAGAAACATGTGTGTATATATATGTATACACACACAATAGAGTAGTAGGAATTAGAATTATAGATCCAGGAAAAAAGCTAAAACCCTTCAGGATCTCAGACTTGCTACAAAAACAACAGCAATAACAACAAAAAACAAACAGAAACACTCAAGCTGCGTTTGCAAAAGGAAAAGAAACAACAAAAATCTAGGCAAGTTTACAATGTGAAAAGTGACACCGTGAACTCCTCAACTCTTGTGTTGACTCCGTCTGGTCTATTAAGGAAAATAATTTCCTCAAACTAGAAAGAGCAGAGCAAGCTTGCTTGAGAAAATGGAGAAGGTAGTGTGTCCTGAAGTAGAATATATCCTTTTGGGTGTGTCTTCATCACAAGGCCCAGGCAAGGCACAGCCCAGAACTTTTCACATTTTAGGTGTGAATTCATAAACACCTGTGGATTTTTAAGAAATCATGAAGGAACAGGGGCAGGGATTGCTTAAAGAATGGAGTTGGAAAAATACATCCTTCATTTTCAGAAATGGGAAAAATGTACAATGGGAAATTTGATTGTTAATTGCTTCCAAGTTCAAGAGTGTGTAATCAAAGAGACAAATACTTAGAAAAGAATGGAGTGATTACTAGATGCTAACATAGGAGCACTAAGAACCTTCATGATTAAGAACTTGTCATTTTTATTGGGTTATTGAGTGAAATGTTCTCAACATAGTGAACATCATCAATAAGGTGTCTGATAAAGTCACACATAATTGCCTTGTGGAGAAGATAAGGAAATGTCATTTTGTTGATTGTAAAGTGCAGTTAGAGCTGGCATCAATTAACAGGCTGAGGTCAACCCAAAAAGGAGGTTTGGGGGAATTTACTATTGAGAACTTCATTTTCTTCAATGACCTGGAAGGTTAGCACGATCTCTTAAGCCTTGTCCCTTCCCATTCCTGAATTTCCACCAAAGCTGCTTTCCCATTTCCTATGCCTCAATTCTTCTCTTATACCTACAATATACCAGCTTCCTCCTCCACTGGACCCAGGGACCAGGGTGGCATTTACAAGCACTGCAGTTTCGTCCCCTGTTCTCCTGTTACTTCTAACTTACCAATATCCCACTTTTAGAATAATTCAGCCTTCTCTTTTCTTCCATTACGATCCCAGGCTACTGAGAAGTATTGGAGAAAATTGCAAACTTGTAGCTTGCAATTACAGCCATTTTCTCTCTCTAGTAGTTTCTGTTTCTCTTAAGCTTTCTAACACTGCAAATAACATTGTGTACTGAAACTGAACTCCTGAGAGAGGTCAAGCCTCTTTCTCTTCTTTATTGTTTTTACCTAAGCAGTCCACCTCCTAAAAATGATCAATTCTGTCTCCTCCTCTTCTCTTCCATTGTCCTTGCTGTATTTCAGCTCTTATTAACACTTGCCTATTTCAGCTTTTATTGACTCCTGCCTGAAAACTTGCAAGAACCTCAGAACTCACTCTTCTGGGTCCAGTGGTCTTTCTTTCAACCCATCATCCCCTCTGCTGCCAAAGATGTTCTCCTAATACAGATATCTGATAGTTACTCCCTTTGCTTGAAAATTCCCTAGGGTTTAAAGGGCCAAGTTCAATCTCCTTAACGAGGTAAGTGATGACTATCATGCTGACCCCAACCTATCTTTCCAACTTCATGTCCCATGATCGCTGTCTCTCATCTCTCCTTTGAGGATGAGCAGTCTTATTTACTTTTGTATTCCTCTCACCTAGAATAACACCAACTGCATGGTGGATCATTTGTATATTAGTGAAAAATTCAAAGCACATACACAAAAAAAGACTCATCAGATGAGTCAGGGTTCAGACATGGAGGGAGTAGCTCTGGCCTGACAGCATAATAACCAGAAGATTTCAGCATGCTGGGCTCCACACTAGCCAGGTCAGTTTTAATGGGAGCCAGTGATTCAAAAACCTACCTTTGAAAGAACAGGATGGAAGAGGCCTGCTTCGCTCTTAGCTAAGATGAAGAAGATGGAGGAGTTTGGTTGATTTCCAGATGAACAGCGGTCAGGGGAATGTTATGGCTAGAGAAAGATGATGAACCCTAAGTTGCATTACTAGAGGCACAGAGGGCCACGTACTAACGGATGGAGTTGCACAGTGATCTGTACTAATCGGAACACAGCTGAATTCCAAGGACATAAGGATAGATGAAGCACAGAGAAGGATGTGGAAAATGTGCCATGTGAGGAACTACTAAAAACATGGAGTATTTAACCTAGCAACGAGAAAGCTTAAAGGGAACACTGATGGTTTTTGTTTTATTTTTTAAATTTTTGCAGAACTATTGTGTGTAAGAGTGATTGCTATAAGCTAGGTTCTTTTAAGGGCAGAACTAGCTTGAATGAGGTGAAATTATAGGGCAGATGACTTCAGCCCTGTATAATGAAGACATTTCTATCAATGAGAGTTATTAAAAATATAAATTGGCTGTTGTCTGAGTGTCTTGAAAACTGGAAATGTTCAAGCAACAGTTGAATGATGGTATGTCAGCAATATTGGAGAGGGAATTCTAGAAGGCCTCCAAGTTTTTTCTTACTCCAAGATTCTGCCATCCTATATTATGTTTTTAGTTAAGTTTTAAAGGAACCCACTGAGGAAATCCATTTGGAAACTTTCAGTAACAGTGTAAGTTAAAAATTCCAGGCCTCAAACTAAACTGTTTGAAAGGCAGCCCCTAACCTATATTTTATTTCTTCGTTCTAGAGGCCCTAAGCACCTCAGGGCTTGCTTGTGAAAGGAGAAAATCATAGATGTGATCATGACCCTTATGGCTAAATTCAAGATTGGCATTAGTAAAGCTCTCCACAGGTGATAATCTAAAGATGCCTACAAGTGATAATCAGGAAGGAAATGAAGAAGGAAAAACATCCAAAGTGAAACTTCCATCAGACCAAAGAATTCTCCTGGTTTGTTGCAAATCCGGAGTAGGGCTTGGCCAAGTAGAAGCAAAGGATGGAGAAAGCATTTTTGTTATTAGCTCATAGGCGCAAGGTTCAGCTCTTTCAGTTTCACTTTTTAAGTCCTAGGCTGCTCTGTGCCTTGCTTTCTCCAACAACAAATTACAGAGACCAAGCACATCCCAAGCCAGTAGAGGTTCATTTCTGTACAGTGGTTGTGTTCTTATAATTGATAAGGTGAAGGAAAATGCATTCATGGAAATCCAGATGTTCGAGAACCCCAGGACCAATCCTATGAGACATTACCGATGCTACTCGCCAGAGGCCTGCGACTCAGGAGTTAATGTCTGCAAAGCATTTTGAGCTTGTTGGAAGAAAGGCGCTAGATAAATACAAAGTGTTGTTGTTATTATAGGGAAGAAAAAGTAACTGTTAGCTCAGGGTCTATAATTAGGAAGCAAATATAGTGTCTGGTGGCTTTGATAATAGGATTTCTATGAAGATGTGGCATGCCGTAAGCCTGTTGACTGAAATGTTATAAATGACATGATTTTTGCCATACCAGTCAGAATCCTTGACATTTTAGTTTTCAATCTGCCTTTCTGCCCTTCCCCCACACTCTATATTGAGGTCAACTCTAAGAGGGCAAGTGTCAAATTAACAGCTCCGAAACTAATAAACTTTGGTGTGTCCACGGAGAAATTATGGCCCTGAAGAATCAGCACTTGCTTCCTTCTTGCTGAAGCCAAATCCTGAAGACTTGGAACTGAGCATTGAGAAGATCTTGAAGTTCCTTCCAAGCCTGGGTCCTTGTCCTGCCTCTTGCCTTCAGTTAGCAAACCTGGTGTGCCCTGAGTGAGGCCTGGTCCTGCAGCTTGCAAAAGGAAGCTTGGGAATTCTTTCAAGAGAAGCATAAATCCGAGTTCAGGCCTTGGAAAGTAAGTAAAGAAGGAAATAGTTTTAAAATATTTTAATGTGTTTATCTGCATATTTTCGGTCTACCCATAATGTTCTGAGAATTTAAGTGGTTTAAGAAAATCACTTCTTAAAATAAGGAATATTGTTTTTCGTGGAACAGTTCGCCATTCAGACTCCTGTGACTCTTTCTGTTATCAATTTGTCCCGTGATTTTTACCTGTATTTGCCTCAATTTCTGCCCTGTGAAATTGTCATAACCGATTACTCTTCTCATCGATGCTGCTGGAGGAAGGCAGCAAAGGCAGATTCCATAGCTGTGCAGTTGAGAGTTTGATTTTGGCCCATCAGTCACTCGATAGCTGGAAGGCTTCACGCAAGTCGCTGAACCCCATGTGCTTGTGTCCCCATAATTTAATAAGTATTAAATGATTTAAATGAAATGCGTTTTCATTCGAAGGAAACATTTAAATAATTTAAGTGAAGTTCCCATTAAGTATTTTTCCAGTTTCAGAATCTTTTCATTTTCTTACAACTTGAGTATCTTCTCTAAGGGAACACATGCAATTACATCTTTTAATGTTGACCTTTCTTGTTGTTTTTATAATTTTACTGTGGGGACTAGTTTGCTTCAAAGAACTTGGTGCCATAATCTTGATTTGAAGATACCTAATACAGTTTTAGGATAAAGAAATTTCCTGTTTATTTCATGGATAAGATCTTTTTTAGAAGTGTTTCCTTGGGTAGTGATAGGCTTGCTCCCATTATTGCATGGGTTTGGGCCATCTTTTTAATGTAAACGTTTTTCCTCTTACACCTACAAACAAGTTAAAATAAAAATATGTAAGATAGACATCTACATTTTTCACATTCTTCCTGTCAGCTGAGTTTGAGGAATTTGGTCCAACACATTTATCCAGCAGTTACACGGAGCCAGGCGATGTATGTGGCATCCACAGTGGGCAGAGTGGGGATGGGGGTGGGTAGAGGTGAGGGTCTGTGGGCAAAAGATAAGTTCTCTACAGGAAATTCTCCCCAGGCCAAGGGTGTGCTTAATGCTTTCAGAGGTGTTTCAACTTAGTGTTTATTTAAATGTGTTAAATCTTGCTTTGCTTTAAAATAAATCAGCACTACCTGAAAACTCAGGCTTTCCAGGTGACACAGTGGTAAAAAAAAAATCCACCTGCCAATGGAGGAGACCCGGGTTGGATCCCTCTGTTGGAAGACGCCCTGGAGAAGGAAATGGCAACCCACTTCAGAATTCTTGCTTCAGAAATCCCATGAGCAGTCCGTGGCGTCCCAAAGAGCTGGCGCAACTGAGCGCACACATGCACACGCACGTGCGTGAGCACACACACACACACACACACACACACACTTGAAAACACACTTAAGGCTTTACAGTTCTAAAACAGGATCACTGACTTTTTTTTTCTATTTATTTTTATTAGTTGGAGGCTAATTGCTTTACAATATTGTAGTGGTTTTTGTCATACATTGACATGAATCAGCCATGGATTTACACGTATTCCTCATCCTGATCCCCCCTCCCACCTCCCTCTCCACCAGATTCCTCTGGGTTTTCCCAGTGCACCAGGCCCGAGCACTTGTCTCATGCATCCAGCCTGGGCTGGGATCACTGACTTTTTAATGTCAAAATCTGTTTTCCTTGGAAGCAGATGTCCTGAGTATTTGCAGTTATCAGGGCCTATTCCTGGACTCCTGTCACTGCAAAATCACATCTGAACTACGTGAAGAGATTCTCACACCAATTTAGGGGAATCTCCAGGAAATCTTGGTATAACTCATAACTACTGTGAGCGGGCAGAAGATGAATGAGATCACGCTTGCAAAGGGCTTCGGGGCTACAGATGGTGTCTGAGCGGGGCGCGCAGGGCGCGGCGGTGGGCACCGGCAGCGATGAGGGTGTCGCGGGCCCCGCGGTGACCACGGTGGGAGGCGGCCTCCTGCTGTCCCCGTGGGGCCCCCACCGCTCTGGGCCAGAAGGGACAGGCTCATCCCAGGTCCCGGCCCTGTGGTCACCTCCCAAGTCCTCCAAGTCCCGACACAGCTGCCTTCCCGAAGTGACCAATTAAAAGGTCTGAAGCGGCTGGAGCTCGCTGCCGCCAGCACGCACGGACCACATGCGAGGCTGCGACAGTCCCTCGTCGTGACGCACTCCATCCAGGACACAGGGTCAGCAGTGTTTAGCAGCTGACACAACAGGGGTTTCCACTGCCTGCCAGACAGCTCAAAGGCTGCAAGAAATCTTCTGTGGGTTCCGGGGAACGCTTTGAATTCTTCCAGCCAGCCTGACAGCCCTCCAATAGCACTCTGGAAGAGACTGCAATGTTCCTGTAGGGCCAGGAGAGCCGGCCTTACGGGGCGTGGACAGGCCCCCGGGAGAAATTGAAAGGGACAGTAAACGCCAGGAAAGCAGAACCCCTCTCTTGCTGTCTTGCAAAGCAGCATCAGAAACCCTGGCAGGCAGGACACGCCTCTGCCCGTCTCTTATTCAGGGGAGAAAGGGGCCTGGCTATCTCAGTGGATCTTAATTTTCTCTCGCCCCCTCCAACCCCCATCTCCTAACCCACCTCTCCCCTCCCCAGCCCCCTTCTGCCCCTGCAGGGTTTGTGTTCAGCATCAAATTAAGTGTTCATGACAGCTAACCACAAGTTATTAAATGTGATTCACTGCCACATTGCTGGGCCTTCACTGGTGGTACAGAATAACCACTTAGACAAACCGTTTGATTCATGGCATCCATACAAAGAGTCTTTGAGAAGGAGAGAGGCCTTCTCAGGCCTTTTGCTGAAAATTGTTTTATTTCCGTGATTCTCTTCAACAGGTCGGTGAGCTGAATTAAACCCCAAATCCTTTCTAACTGCTTAGCTGTGAAGTCTTTAAGATATTACAGAGCTCGTGAGAAGTGGCTGTGGATTGCCAAGTCAGCGGAAATTTAAGAAATCAGTGTCAAAAATGAACTTATGTTTGACAAGTGAGACCAACGATCTGCAGCTGGTGTGAAGGGTGGTGATCTTTCAGTGTTTAATGCTCTTAATAATTAGGTTTCCTATCCTAGAAAGGCATTATTATTTTGGAATAACTCCCTGCTGTGAAGGGAGAGTTGATGAAATAGTAAGTTTCCTTCCATTGAAATCCCCCTGCCCCGCCAACCCCGGGTTCATGTTTGGAGACAGTGGATAATGAAAGACCAATGGTCTTTCAGGAATCAGACACCTCATTTAATTGTTTTCCTATTTCATCATTCAGGGCCTCACTGTTACATTGGCTCCTTGGGAGGGGCACTGTCCTCTCTTGGATGGAGGGTTAAATTTACTGGGGTGTTAAGTTCTGCTTGTGCTGAGCCAACTGGATTTATGCATTTAGAAGGCCCTAAAATAGGAAGCTGAGGGGTCTTTGTTCAAAACTCGCTGGCCCAAGTTTCTTCCTGATGATGTCTGTGGACAGTACCCCATAAAAGTACAGTGTGGCTTGTACTCGCCACAGCACGCCAGGCTCAGAGGCTTACCATCTGTTTATAATCGGCATTCAGATTTGATCCATTATAGAGGTATCCCAAGCTTATTGAATTTAAAAGGGGGCACCAAGTTTGTGTGGGATAAATTCAGGTCTAACTTGTCATCTCTCTGCCAAGAGCATGTAATTCATTTTCTTATTACCAACACAGTCTATTAGAAAATAAGTTAGCTATGTAACAAATTGAAGTCTAAGAAATATCCATATTAGGAAACTTAGTTTGATGATTAAATTAAGCGAGGATTACTTTGGCGTGAATAATTCCACAATCTGTTTTTCTGTCCTGAAAAAATGAGTTTAGCAAGGCATGGCTGTGCTTGTAATATTCAACAGCTTTGTTTTCAGGGTTTCGAGTTGTTTCCCTCTCCATCAGTCTTCCAAACATCTTGATTTTCTGTCACCTATTTGATTATCATTTATGATACTTACAGAATTAGGTTGAATAAAACAAATGTTTTACTAAGGGGCCAGATCTAACATCATATACATTATTTGTTCATTCATTTATTTATTCAGTGCATAATGAGTGCTTCTTCCGTGACAGGTATCTTGGAGCAAATCAAATGCATTTCTTCATTAAGAGGTCATTCAGAGTAAGAGAAAAAATATAATAAGTGCACAATTGACCAAAATACATAGAGTTAAGGTTAATTAAGTTTTCTTTTTAACTGAGGATGAAAGTTACAACCCTTTTTGCTTCAGTGTTTACTGAAAAATCTAAATAGATAATTTCATTCTTCTCCCTTTTAGAGAGAATGCAGGAAAAGAATCAAATCTTTGGTGACTTGGCATATTGGTAAATCAACATTCTTTAATAAATTCATGCTCATTTTAATACATTAATATGCATTTGCCACAGAATGTATGCTCCAAAAGTTTTGTTGTTGTTTTAGGTAAAGCTGACCTGTTTCATTGTCTTTGGGCTCTTTTCCTCAAGTATAAAACAAAAAGCAAACCCTAGTTGATGGATAGTTCAGTTCAGTTCAGTCGTGCCGTCTTATCCGACTCTTTGTGACCCCATGAACCGCAGCACGCCAGGCCTCCCTGTCCATCACCAACTCCCAGAGTTTACTCAAACCCATGTCCATTGAGTCGGTGATGCCATCCAACCATCTCATCCTCTATCGTCCCCTTCTCCTCTTGCCTTCAATCTTTCCCAGCATCACAGTCTTTTCCAATGAGTCAGCTCTTTGCATCAAGTGGCCAAAGTATTGGAGTTTCATCTTCAACATCAGTCCTTCCAATGAACACCCAGGACTGATCTCCTTTAAGATGGATGGTTAATCAGTGTTCTAATATCCTTCAATAAAAGAAGTGTAAGGTAAAGATGGTGTTTACCTGGAAAGCAGTTTCACTAATATTCATAAAAGAAAGTTACTGAAGAACAAAAAGAACACTTGAAATATTTTTGTTTACTTGAATTATATATTAAAGGTTGGACTAGTGGGACTAGTGGCTTGTTTTTAGCTTGTAACTTTTTGCATGCCCATAAAAACCTGGTAAAGTCTTACTGAATTAGCAAGATCAGAGAGAAGGTTTAAAGTTCACAAAAAACATTTTGCCACATGAAGTTCAAAATCGTCCAACACATATGATAATTAAAGGATGAGTGTTGGAAGAGTAAGGAGCTTGGAGAGAACATGAAATTAAAAAAAAAACAACACTCTAATGTAAATTGGCAAAATCTGCAGAATTTTATGATTCATGATGGATTTATTTGAGTATATAAATAAATTTCAAAAATCAGCCCTCGTCTAGTATGGCAAATGTATTCATTCCTTCAATACATTTATTTAACCTCCTACTACGTGTCAGTCTTGGAGGAGGGCATGGTGACCCACTCCAGTATTCTTGCCTGGAGAAGCCCATGGACTGAGGAGCTTGGCAGTCTGCACTCCATAGGGTCACAGAGTTGGACACGACTAAAGGGATTCATGTGTTGCTCTCCTTACTGGATACGAGGATTCAACACTGAACAAGATAACTTTCATATACATTGTGTCCTACAGTGGGGAAAAGTATGAAAAAAGCAATTTCCACAAAGTGTGGGAAATAATAATTATTTATCCCATCACTGATTAATTAATACACACCTAATGTGTACTAGAGGGCTTCCCTGGTGGCTCAGATGGTAAAGAATCTGCTTGCAATGCAGCAGACCTGGGTTTGATCCCTGGGTCGGGAAGACCCCTTGGAGAAGGGAATGGCAGCCCAGTATTCTCCAGGATTCTTGCCTGGAGAACTGCTTGGAGAGAGGAGTCTTGTGGGCTTTACTCCATGAGGTCACAAAGAGTCGGACACAACTCTGTGACCAACGTGCTTTAACATGTACTAGAAAGGAAAGGGAAACCTTCTAGTAGAGGCCCAAGTCTGGGAGGGGATGTGAAAGCCACATAAGCTCTTAATGAAGAATAAAAAGCTAGGCGGAAGCAGTGGGTGTGTAGGCAGAGGAAACTGCTTCCAACTGAGAAAGCAGACAAGAGCTCTATGTGACTTGTGCAGAGGGAAGCAGGGTGGAGAGGAAAGAAGTTGGAGACCTAACAGCTTAACACTGAATTTACAGCCTGGGCCAGCATCTCCATACAACCTTGTGAAGCAGCTGCTATTATTATCTCCACTTTAGAGATAAGAAAATCAGGGTCACAAGATCACATATCTAGGAAGTACAGAGCCAGGACTCAAAACCAGCATCCTGGCAGGAGGCTCTCAACTTTTAATTGCTTAAGCAGGGCAGAGAGGGATGACGATCAGCACTGAGAAGTCTCGTCTTAGACTAGGATAAAGGCAAGCCAGTGAAGCATTCACCTGAGGAATAGGATATTCCTATATATCTTTCTTTTTTTTATATTGTAGTGGTTTTTGTCATACATTGACATGAATCAGCCATGGATTTACATGTATTCCCCATCCCGATCCCCCCTCCCACCTCCCTCTCCACCCGATCCCTCTGGGTCTTCCCAGTGCACCAGACCCGAGTACTTGTCTCATGCATCCAACCTGGGCTGATGATCTGTTTCACCCTAGATAATATACATGTTTCGATGCTGTTCTCTCAAAACATCCCACAGTATGGAAAACGGCCTCAAAAGGAACAAAATGAAGATATTGACTAGTGCTATTGCAATGGCCCAGTGGAGAGATTCTTGAGGCCAAACTAGGATATGAAAGGCAGAATGGGGAGAAAAGAGAGCTTTAAAAGATGTTCAGGAGACAGAACAAAGATGATTTAGTAAATCACTGGAAGGCACAGGGTGGGGAAGGGTCAGAAAGAACTCTTGGACAGATGTGGGTGCTGGTGCCCAGGCTGAGAACAGAGAAAAAGTGAAAGTGAAAGTGAAGCCGCTCAGTCGTGTCTGACTCTTTGAGATCCCATGGACGATAGTTTACCACGCTCCTCCGTCCATGGGATTTTCCAGGCAAGAGTACTGGAGTGGGTTGCCATTTCCTTCTCCAGAGGATTTTCCTGACCCAGGGATCGAACCTGGGTCTCCCACCTCATGGGCAGATGCTTTACCGTCTGAGGCACCAGGGAAGTCCTGAGAATCGAGAAGGTGGA